CAGGGACTGGCTCTGTAGCTTAGACTAACCTTGAAACCACTAGGTAGCCCAGGCTGGTCTTGAACTTGCAGCAGTCCTCCTGCCTCAGCCTCTTGACTGTTGGGATTACAAGGGTATGCCACCATGCCCGGCTAGGAGCACTAATCTAGCTTTTACTTCCTGGTCTCTTTTCAGGATCTTTTTTATTTGTGCGTGTACATGCTTGCAGTACAGATTGCATTCATCTTGGGGAGCTGGCACCCGTATGGAATCTCTTTGTTTGTTCTTGGTCCTCTGCCCTTTTACCAGTCTTTAGATTTTATTTATTTATTATTTATTTATGGTACCAGGGATTGAACTCAGGACCTTGTGCTTGCCAGGAATGCATTTATGCCACTGAGCTATCTACCCAGCCTTTTTTTTTTGGCTGGCTGAGGCTGCCTTAAAGGCAGGTCAGGTGCAGCATGTGGAGTGTGGAGCTGGGGATCGAACCTCGGTCCCCTGCACCTGAGTTTGCCCAAGCAGACACTTTAAACTGAGCTAACCCACAAGCCCCTTGTAAGTCTTATCTTCCTTCCCCCTTGTTTATCTTCCTGGATTCTTTGCAGGAGTCGTAGATGGAGTTGTCTGCTCTCTTTGCTTGGTTAGCTCAAGAGCTTTGGGCCAAACTACAAAAGTTGGGTTTTGTGACTCTTCTGTTATTGCCAGAATTTAGCTGAGGAACTTTACCCTAAATTACATTTCTGAGATACGTCCCTTCCCTTTGGGTTCGTTCCTTGGGTTCATTTTGAGTTCAAGGCATTTGACGGCCCCACACAGTCATTTGGGGGGTCTCATCAGCAGTTTGTTCCCAGAATTGTCCACAGGACCTCACAGGGGCACAGGCAGGTCTCAGCCCTCCCCACCTGGGAGTCCTCCTGCCTGGCACCATGGTGCCACTGCTCCCAGGTGGCCCTCAGGGCTTGGAGGTGCCAAAGGGGCACCTGGCAGGGCTCAGTGACTAGCGGGGGGCAGCTGCAGTCACAAGATGCTGAGCAATGCTTTTGACATTGACTTCTTATCAGATATGTGCTCTGCAAATATTTTCTCCCATTTCTAGCTTGATTTTTCATCTTGATGATTATTTGCTGCACAGGAGCTTTGACCTGGATGTAGTCTCATTTGTTCATTCTTGCTTTTGTTCCCTGTGCTTTGGGCATAAGACGACCCCCTCCTCCCCCCCCCCAAAAAAAAAAAAAAACCAGGCTGCAAACTCTTGAGTTCTAAGATGTGTCAGTCCCGGGGACCTAATGTGCAACATGGTAACCAGAGCTTACATGACTGCATTTTTTAATTTAAAACTTGCCAGGAAAATAGATCATAAGTAACCTCACCATCTCCCAAGACACAGTTGAAACTCTCTGGTTATGTTGTATTACTTAGCATGATTGTGGCAATAATTTCATGGTATAAACCAAATCATCAGGCTCGGTGCCTTTAGTAGATATGATTTATATTTGTCAATTAAACCTCCATAAAGCTGGAAAAATACATTAAAAAATAAAAGCCAAAGTCATTAGATAATGCCAATGTGTCTGACTTCAAAATTCCATATATATATATATATCTTATTCTAATGCAAGAACATTTAGGTCGGAGCTAGGTTGGTTTTTTTGTTTTGTTTCATTTTTTGGCAGAACTGGGGATTGAACTCAGACCCTTGCGTAGGTTGGAGTTGGTTGTTGATGTATAAAGTCCACATTGTATTTTGTGTTCTTCCCAGACTTGCGTTTAGATTTCAGTTCTATTCCAAAGGTTAAACTTAACAAAAACTTAACATTTCAATTCAAATTTATGTATGCTTCTTTAGAATTTGTCATTAAAATTATAAGCTGCTCTTGGGCAGTTGGGAGAGTGATCATATTTATCATCCAAACAGGGAGATTCTCAGAGTGAAAGGGAGCGCTGTTAGCAGCTACACTAGAACAGCAGGCCTAACCCGGAAACGTCCCATGGTAACCAGGACCCATGAGCTCTGCCCCGAGCAACAGTTTTAAAACTTCTAAAGTTAATTTATAAAGTACAGACTACTAATCTACTACTTGTATAGAGTTAACATATATACTACGTATACTTAACTGAAATCACAAGTTTTACTTTTTTTTTGGCATGGTTTTAAAGCAAAAACAGCAGTCAATTTTACCCAATTTTTTTTCAGAACCAGGGATTGAACTCAGGCCCTTGCGCTTGCCAGGGAAGCGCTTATTCTGCTGAGCCATCTCCCTGACCCCCAAAATTTAATTTTCATTATAGTAACATGTTCTTTACAGTGGAGTTTGGTTACAACTCCACTCTAATAACTTCATTACCTAAAATAGACAAAACCAAGTTATTACATAAAAGCCACTTCCATAAAAGCAAGCCAGGACCGTCAAGTGACCCTTGCAGAAGGCCATGCGGTACTTATTGGATGAAGTGGGGCAATCTAAACTTCTACGAGGCTCACTGCTCCATCCGGGGCTTGGTGAGGCCCATCTATCCGACAGTGCTATCTCTATTCCTTCCGTCCCTGACATGCAGCACACAAGTCTCACTGCTTCAAAGCTGTCCCATCTGTGCATTTTTCTCCGTTTAGCCATCTCCTGACTAAAACCTCCAATCACAGGAATTAAGAACAAATTTCGAATTCTCAAAAGAACCAGTTTATCCAATGTTTCTCTCTCACATGTACATCCTCCAGCAAATTCAAATCACTTCTGGGTGGAGCTACTTGGCCGGCCCACTATGCAAATGTTATGGAAATAGTTATCATACTTATCTTCTCATTTAGGGAACAAGGACAAGGACAAGAAACAGGGCACATGTTTTGGGGTGCAGGCGTCATTGACCTGACTACACAGACATAAACAAGGTGTGAGGGAAACAGTGCTCAAACAAGTTCTGAAGTCCATCTGTGGCTCCCCAGGAAGGGCTTTGGGGGCAGCGTGCCAAGCACACAGCTAATGCAAGTTTTATGAAACTTCCAGAAATCTTTGTTTTAAACTTTTTTTTTTTTTTTTTTTTTTTTTTTTTTTTGAGGTGAGGTCTCACTACATAGTTCAGGCTGGCCCTGAATTCCCATATAGCCCAGATTGGCCTCAAATTGCTAGGACACTCCAGCCTCCACTCCTAAGTGCCAAGGCTACAGACGTGCACCCATCTCCCCCAGCTCCGTTTCTTATTTTGAGACAGGATCTCACTGAATCACTAAATTGTCCATGCTGGGCTCATTACAATCCTCCTGCCTCAGCCTCTTGGGGTATTAGAATTACAGGTGTGCATTACCATGCCCGATTTTTGTTTTTGCTTTTACTATTTTTGATCCAGTTGGTTGAATCCAATGATATAGAACCAGTGGATAGGGAGGTCTGACTGCACGCATGCATATACACACACACACACACACACACACTCACATTTTTATATAGCTAGAGAGACTATGATTCAAGGATTGGCTCACTTTTTTTTTTTTTTTTTTTTTTGCTGAACCGGGGATTGAACTCAGGCCCTTGCGCTTATTCTACTGAGCCACCTCCCCAGCCCAAGGATTGGCTCATTTGATCAAGGATGCAGTTCAAGCCCAAAGGTGGCTGGAAGCAGAGCCCTTTGTGCCTCAGAATCCTTCAGGCTCTCCTCTTAGGGACCCAGACTGAAAGAGCCCACTCAACTTATTGAGGGCAATCTAGTCATATCTCCTGATTTAAATGTCAGTCTCATCTAAAAAGAATATCTAGGCCAGTGTTTGACCAAGTATCTGGGTTCCTGGGCTGACCAAGTCAGGATTAATCATCCCACCTGAGCAGGGAACTTGGGCCTCAGTCTGAAAACCTTACCTTTGAGGTCACTGGGGGTCCCCTCCAGCCTAGCCCAGGCCCCACTCTGCTGCCGGGCAGGTCCTCTTTTCCTCAGGTGAGGAAACCTAGAAGGCTCAGCACCAATGGGTCCCAGGACTTGGGAGCTGGGTGGGTGGGCCTGGCCTGCTGTGCAGCAACCCCCACCCTCTCCACCAGGGCTCAGCTTGGGACTCCACAAGGATGCATCACTTCACTCCCTGTTTGATCTGAATGTATCCCCAAAACCACTTGTGAGAAACTTGGTGCCAGCACAGTAGTGCTGGGTGGGGACCTCTGGGATGACTGGGCCAGGAGAACACCGAGCTCCTGTGTGGATTCAGGAGCTGCCGGCTGTGAGGCAGCTGGTGGTGCGGCTGTGCTCAGCATGCATGAGGCCCCGGGTTCCCTCTCAGCACGAAGAAAGGAAAGGAAAACTACAGAGGCGCACAGTTAAAGTCCGCCTGATCTGGAGACCAGGGCGCGTGCAAGCCATTCTCATTTGTGTTGCTCGGTTCCTCCCCACAGACCAGGCCCTGCCTCCTCGGAAGTCACCACATTACACTCCTGTGACCACGCAGAACGTGGCCTCATGCTTCATCCACCTTCCCAGCCAATGGCTCAGGTTTTGCCCTCCCTTGGTCACCATGTAACATAAACCCCTGCACAAAACAGGAAAAGAAGGGGTAGAGGGAGAAAAGCCAAATGCAGCCAGCAGCTTGAGTTAGGAGAAACCCTGCACACTGGCCTTTGATGTCCACATAATTTCAGGCTCACTGCACATAGCTGCACAACCCACAGAACTTGGTCCGGAGGTTCAAAGCTGCGAGGCCATGTGATACCAGTGGGAAAATCTGGGCCACGCCACCATGGCGAAGTCTCTATTTCAGCTGCTGCTGTTCCAAACAATGTTCCCCAGATCCTATTTTTGTTTGTTTGTTTTGATGCTGCGGATTGAAGCCAAAGCTTTATGCATGCTAAGCATGTGTCCTACCACTCCGTATAACCCCCAGGCAAGTTTCTAAAATTCTTTTTATTCATTTTCATTTCTTTAAGACAGAGTTAGGGCTGGGGAGGTAGCTCAGTAGAATAAGTGCTTGACTGGCAAGCGCAAGGGCCTGAGTTCAATCCCCCGTACCGGAAAAAAAAAAAAAAAAAAAGACAGGGTTTTGATACGTAATCCAGCCTGGTCTTGAGAGCAGCAGAGATCCTCCTGCTTCAGCCTCCCAAACACAAGCGTGCACCACTAGGTCCAGCCAGATTTCTTAATCAGATTACAGCATGAGAAACAATCTCCATAGCATGGCCCAAAATGGAAAAGGCTTGTGCTAGTGAAAGTACAAAGGTAAAACACATTCCACCCTTCCTTTCTTACCCTGGACCTCACTTTAGAAAGTCAGGCTACCTTGGTATCACATTCTCAGAGATCTGGCAAACAGGGTATTTTATGACATTTTCTTACTGAACACTGTTGCACTGATAGAATAATTCACAGAGAATTTCTACAACCAGAAGTAGTTGTCTATAATCGTTAGTGGTTAATAATTTGCTTTGTGAAAACTCTTCCCCACTGTCCCCAAAGGAGAATTTCTGAGGCAACCAACACTTTGGACATTCATGACAAAAACAGCACAGAAATTCTCCAAGCCAACCTCACCCGGGGTGGGTGTGTCTGCATTCCCGAAACCGCTCTTTTGTATCTGTGAGCACTGGCGCCCCCCCCCCCCCCGTGCCGCGCAGGTGCCCACCAAGGTGTGTGACTGACAGAAGCCCCAGGGGCTGGTTGTGTGGTCCCCACAGAGTATGCAGGCCGGCTGGGAGATCCCCGCAGCAGGCCTGGGGGCACACAGTGAGATGCCACTGTGCAGCTGTGACAGAAGCTGGGGAGGAGGCTGGCATTGCAGGAATGGCCCTGCTACCAGGCACACCGTCCTTAGGAAGCCCTGCCTGGTGGGTCTCCCTTCCCAGCTGCCTAGGACTCCACTCCATCCCTGCAAGCAGGGGGACAGACACACAGTGCCCCTCCCCAGCGAGGCTCAGAGCTCTTGGGAGCTCCCAGTCTTGCTCAGTTCAGCACCCAGCCACTGTTGTCCCTCAGCAGGCACCGCCAATGAAGAACCCCACCATGCAGCCTGGCTGAGGCTGCTCTGAAGATCAGCTGCAGAAGCGGGAAAGGCTCCATCCAGGGCTAACCCGCTCCAGACAATTCACAGAGCTGTCTGAGCCCCAAACTCGATCCTCAGCTGGACGAGTTCTCCTGCTTGGGCCTGTGTCCATGGACAGGGTGAGGGAACTTGCAAGAATCAGAGGCTGAAGAGAAGGAAGCTCAACCATGCAGCATAGCTCAGGTGCAGGAAGACTTCCAACATGAAGCTGGCCTGGGCTGCCCCATGCCTCTGCCCTTCATTGCAGCCCTAAGGAGGGGGCTTGGCAACTTCCTGGCCTCTTTCGTGGAACAAGCCAGGCCCCGTGAGCACATCATGGGCACACGGCAAGGCCTCTGCTTGGTGAGACTTTCCTTCAGCCCAAGGAAGCACAGTAGGGGGATTGCATAGGCTCCAACTCCATCCACAAGGCAGACCAAAGCAGAACCCATCGACCTCCAGCGGCCACATGGACCGACATATTCACCTCTTATTTAAAGCAAGCAGAGTTTCCAGTGTAAAAACTGTGGACTCATTGCATCAACCCAGGGTGCTCCATCTGTTTCTCTCCATCAGGCAAGGCTATGAGGCAGTTATTGTTTAATTTCCAAGGATCTCACATTCACTGATCGTTCCAGGCATACAATCTCTACCAACACAGATACCCCTGGCTTTTAAGACAAGAAATCTTCTTTAGCCCAAAGTCCTCCTCAGACTTTCCTGCCCCAGGCACACATCTGCCAGCCTCGAGGGCTGAGCTGGTTGCTGGACTGAACCTTGTGTGGAAACACCAGGCAGGCACAGGCAGGCACGGGCACGGCTCCTGTGTATGTGCATGCACATGTTCAGACATGCATGTGGTCCTCAGTCCTTGCAAGTGAAAGAGAGAACAGGGATCCAGGGGTAGGAAGTAGTCTGCTGGCTTTTTAGCCTATTCCTAGGAGCAAGGGATGGCTTGTGGTTTGTGCATAAGCATTGCCTTGGGAAGGGAGCACCCAGCTTCCTATGGGTCTTCTGGGGTCAGTGGCAGCCCTTAGGGCACTTGGAGCCCCATTCCTGTGACTCAGATGGTTGCTGGAGTCTCAGCTATCTCCTCTAGCCTTTGCCGGATCATCAGCCGGAGCACGGTGTACCTGGGGATGAGACACAGCCTGTGGCACAGGACAGCTAGCAACCAACTGCTCCTTGAGGTAATCCGCCAAGCCTGCCCAGGGGCACCAGGGGCACCAGCTGGCACTGGGTAGCAGCAGGTTCCCTTTGCTAGCTTTACCGGCCCACTCTTTAGTCACTGCTGTGTTCACTTCCACAGCAGGATGAGAGAGAACAGAGACCAAATCCAAATTAGACTATTTTACTACAGTCAGAAGTCTGGAAAAACGAGGAAAATGGGAACACAGAAACAACAATAAGGTTTCCATTAGCTGAGTGCTCACTATGCCTGAGGCACTATGTACAGCACTTAGCCAAGCAGGGCGGCTCACAAGCCCTCAGTGAGGCTGGGGGATGGGAGACTGCAGATATGTGTCCCTTTGGGGAGCAACCAAGAGGGCCACTTCAGGAGGCTCAACCTACCCCAGCCCTTGCATTTCACAGTTGTTGCCCTGGCAACAGACAAAGAGTCCTGTGGTGAAAGAGATATCAGTTTCCCCTGAAAGTGATTCCCTGACATTACTGTGCAGGGCGAATCTCGGAGACATCATGTCCTTAATGTCTGACTTTGCACTGTGCAGCAAAAGCTATGTTTATAGTTTGGGACATAGCAAGTGTTCAATAAATGTTAACTGCTCCCATGCTGATTACTAACAGTCAATATAGCCTTATTCTCCAGTGGCAAAAATCCACCAATTACTCCATAATGTCTGTAAAAGGCAGTTTGTCATGTAACTACATGGCACAAGAATCATAAAATCTGGAGGCTGGGGAGATAGCTCAGTAGAATAAGCGCTTCCCTGGCAAGCGCAAGGGCCCGAGTTCAGTCCCCGATTCCACAAAAAATCATAAAATCTGGAGAGAAGCTTTACTAGTTGTTCTACCCCAAAGGAAATTCCCAGGAGAACAATGTTAAAAAGGAAAGAGGTGCCTCACGCAGGCGTGGGTGGCAGCACAGTCCCGAGGAGCCCCCAGGGAAAGTTGCTGCCCCAATTCTGGAATCTAGACCTGAGATTTTTAAGCCAATGCATTTTTAGAAAGTTCTTTCATAAAAAGAGGGAGAAAAAGAGACTTTCGAGGTCCCACACCAAAAGAAGGCAATGACCCAGAAGGGGCTTGCCCAGCACATTTGACTCCTTTGTCCCCACTCCAGGCTCAGATTTTCCTTCTTGCAAGCCCCAGGAGATGCTACGGCCACCTGGGCATCCCCAGCCTGCAGGGCAGAGGCAGAGGTCGTGCTGCCCAGGCCAGGAGAAGCCAGTGGGCACCCAGAGCTTCACTTACTTCCGCACCAGCTTCTTCACCTCCCGGTCCTCTTCCTCCTGGAGCTTCTGAATGAAGCTTTTCAGAACTGGCACCTCGAACTTGATGTACTGGGCCACCTGTGCAGGGGGAGTTACTGGGCTATGAGGCTGCCCAGGACCCCGCCCATTCCCTTCACCCTTGCTCTCCTGCATGGTGCAGAGCCTTGAGAGACTGGCTTTCCCCTAGCTCAGGTCGTCCTCTAAGACCGGCCTCATCGTGACTCATCCTTCTCAAGGCAGCAGAGTCTATAATGCACTTGGGAGGCCAAGGCAAGAGGATCACCATGAGTTCAAAGCCAACCTGAGCTACAAAGGAAGGTCAAGGAAAGTCTGAACTACACAGCGAGACATGACTTCTCATTTTTCATCTCATGTATCCAACCCATGATTTTATTTTATTTTATTTATTTATTCATTTGCAGAACCAGGGATTGAACTCAGGCCCTTGCGCTTGCCAGGGAAGCACTTATTGTACTGAGCCATCTCCCTGGCCCCACAACCCATGATTTTAATGATGAAGAAACCCTGTCTCCTGACACAGTGATATAGACAAAGAACTGAACTCCTAATATGTGAGTTCTTTGTTCTCCCTTCAAAGGGACCTAAGGAAGGCGTATCATATGGTGGTTTATAGCTCTAGTCTCCTCAGAAGAGATGCAACGGGGTCCTCCCTTGGGGAGGCAAGCAGCCCGGGGAGTTACACTTCAGCAAGGGCTTCCCCTCACCCACCTCCTCCACAATTTCCTGCACGGGACCAGCCCACTCTACTACCTTGTTAATACGGTGTGGCTTGCTCTGCCCAGTGGGATGAATACAGTCCCAACAGCTGCTCAATTGGGGTGGTGGAGGCTTAACCAAGTGTTTCCATCCCTTGGCTGCAAGGAACAAACCCCTCGTGGCCACTGCCCCCCGAGCCAGTGCCTCTGAATGCAACACCCACTGCAGACCTGACCTCGACCCACAGCCTGGAGCAGAGCTGCTGCTCCCAGCCAGCAGGATCAGGATTAAAAGAAATGCTGTTGTAAGCTAAGATCAGGATTGTTTGTTACTGCTGCAAAAGCTGACTGACACATAAAATCAGGTACTATCACTGCTAACCTCTGTATTCTTTCTTTTTTTTTTTTTTTTCCTTCCTCTCTTATTGGAAATTGAACTCAGGGTTTTCACACTGAGCTACATACTCAAACATTTTCTATTTTTAATTTTTAAGGAGGGTCTTATCAAGTCACTAAATTGTCTAGGTTGGGCTTAATCCTGAAATCTTCCTGCCTTGGTCCCCCAGAGTGCTGGGATTATAGATGTGCACTGCCAGCCACTGCTAACTTTTTTTTTTTAAATATTTTTATTTATTTATGTGTGTGTGTGTATGTGTGTGTGTGGCCAGCTCAACCCACCAGGGGGCGGGGCTGGCTGGCATGTGGTGCTGGGGGATTGAACCGCGGTCCCTGTGCTTTGCTAAGCTTGTTCTAAGTAGGTGCTTTAGACCACGGAGCCATCTCACCAGCCCCCACTGCTAACTTTTTGATGCTGTTAAAAGTATTTATAAAATGTCTCTAACTGGTCACAGTACCCTGAAAATGCTCAAGAATTTATTTTTGGGGGCCAGGGAGATAGCTCAGTAGAATAAGCGCTTGCCTGGCAAGCACAAGGGCCTAAGGTCAATCCCCAGTTCCGCCAAAAAAAAAAAAAAAAGAATTTACTTTTTCTGTGGAAATCCCTTTCTGTTTAAGCATGCCTCCTACAATTCCCCCAGGGTATGCCGGCTTCAAGAAAAGCTGGTGTTGAAGAATAGCACCAGAGGCCAGGGAAATGGCTCAGTGGAATGGTTCCGTGGCAAGCCCAAGGGCCTGAGTTCAATCCCAGGTTCCAAACAGCACCAGAAGAGGCTACGTTCCTTGGCCAAAGTGTCCCACTGTTCCCCAGCCATATACATCCCCATCCTCCTGAGGCCAGCGTGCCTGGCCAAGGCACTCACATCGTAGGTGACCTCTTCCACCTGGTCCTTCTCCATGAGGAACACCTTGGAGACTTGCTCGCAGGGGCCCTGCAGGATGCGGGCGATCAGTGGGTAGTCGGTGGGCTTCAGCTTCTGTTTCTCTGGAACCACACACAACCAAGAGCTCCTGAGGCCTCTGTCACCACAGAGAGTGGTTCAACCCAGGGCTCCCTGACCAACTGGGCACTGTAAGGGGTACAGATGCTCAGGGGAGGAGATGGATGTGTCAAGGAATATTCAACAGGTGCATCCCTGGAAGACCTCTTCCCCTGGCTCTGCCTGAGACAGTGCCTGTGCCTCAGACGCTTATGAAGATGCCTCTTTGGAGAAGCTGGATTTAGATGGCTCTCAAAGCACCCAGTCCCTTTTGAATAGGCAGTTGGCTTTAAGGTTTATTTATGGCCTCCACACGTCATTCCCCCACAGGCCTCACACAGCAAGCCCATCACCAACCTTGGAAGGGCACAACATTTGCAAGTTTCCAAAACCCATGCAACCAAATGAGGCTGAGATGTTTTGTTTCATTTTGTTTAATTTGCTATTTTGAGCTAATTAAAAGTTTTAAAGTACACTATGTTCTGCAGACTTACCACCACTGGTGTGGACCACGTATAAAGCAAACTCCTCCGCCGAATTCTCAATCTGAATCAGAGGCAAAAGTGAACAGCTTGTATTTAAATCCCCCGCTTGGGCTATCCCCTCCGCCTCAACTCTAGGAAGCCTATTAGGCCCTGGAGGAGAACTTCATGTACAGCCCTCAGATGGGACAGGGAGGTGAGGAGAGAGCTCTTATTAGCGTAACAGTGGTACAGGATGAGAGCATTCCTGTCACATGTGTGGGACTTGAAGTATTTCAGATTCTGCAGTTTTCCAGACTTCTTTGTGAATATCCCTAATCCAAAAACCTAAAATTTAAAACGCCCCAACATCTGAAACTTTGAGTGTCATGTTAGTACTCAAAAACCTTCAGAAGCTGGAGCATTTCAGAGTTCAGATTTACTGTAACTGTGAAGTTGCACTCACTTTGCTTGGCTTCACTCGTGTCACACTTAGGACATGTCTCCCCACCTTCCTTTTATGCACAAGGAGGCAAAAAAACAGGGACCTCAGCTCACCTGCCCACTCAGCCAGCTAAGGACAGGAACAGGACTTTGAACTCAGAGCCTTCTATTCCTGGACACAGCAGCACCCATTGTAAACAATACTAGCTGGACATCACAGCACAGGCCTGCGGTCCCAGCCACTTGGGAAGCTGAGGCAAGAGGATGCAAGCCCAGGAGTGGAGGAGCAGCTTGGGTGACAGCAAGACCCCAACTCAACCAAATCAATAGGAATGCTTGGTCTCAAAAAGAATGAAAAGAGACTGTGCAGAAACAGAGTAACAGGACCTTAAATGCAAACACCATTATCATTTGCACATCTTTTTTGTTTGTTTGAGACAAGGTCTTACCATGGAGTTCAGGCTGGCCTTAAACTCACTATATAGTCCAAGCTGGCCTCAAATTCAAGGCAATCCTCCGGCCTCAGCCTCCCAAGTGCTGAATAATTTTCACATCTAAGTATTATTTATTTATTTATTTATTTATTTATTTATTTATTTATTTATTTTTGGTGGAACTGGGGATTGAACTCAGGCCCTTGCGATTGCCAGGCAAGCGTTTATTCTACTGAGCCATCTCCCTGACCCCCCCTAAGTATTATTTTTGAAAGCAGGGTCCCCAGTTGTGTCCTGGAAGCTAATTCATGCCCAATAGCAGAGGTCATGCTCCAGGGCTGTTGCTTCTCAAACTACACTTCTCAAAGGGTCACAGCCTCTCAAACTTCAGTGGGAGGTCCCACCCCTGCAGGCCCCTGGAATAGGCTTGCTGACTTTGCTGGGAGTTTCTGATTTAGGAGGTCCAGAATAGGGCCTAAGAATCTGCTTCTCTCTCTCTCTTTCTTTCATTCGTTCGCTCATTTGTTCATTCTTTCTTTCGAGACAGGGTATCACTATGTAATTCAGACTGGCCTTGAACTCACTATATAGCCTGGGCTGGCCTCAAACTCACTGCAATCCTCCTGCCTCAGCCTCCCAAGTGCTGCGATTACAGGTGTATTCCAGGATGCCAGATAAAATCTGCTTTTCTGACACACTTCTGAGTAATACCAATGCCTTGAATTGTTGGGGGGAGGGTTAGGTTTTTTGTTGTTGTTGTTGTTGTTGTTTTTGGCAGAACCAAGGATTGAACTGAGGCCTTTGTGCTTTGCCAGGCAAGTGCTTATTTTACTGAACTATCTCCCCAGCCCCAATGTCCTGAATTGTGAAAATGCCTAAAGAACCCAATCCTCTGCCAGGTACCCCTAAACCATTCTCTCTCTCCATAATCCCCCACCTTGCTCCTCCTAGGGACCCCAGGGAAGGCAGGTGGAAAAGGGAACTTGCCTTAAATTTGTTGAGCAACAGCTTCAGGACCTGTGGGGTAGTCATGGTGCTGTTGATGCGGACATTGGTGACTGATCCATACGCAGGTGTGAACACTGAAGTCTGTGGACAGAGGATTTGGGATGAGGGTGTGCATGGCGGACAGAAACAGAGCACTAAGTTCTGATGGGTAGGAGCCAGGTGGCAGTGGGGCTCCTGGTGTACAGTGGACACTGGTGTAGAGTCCTTGGGGCTGGCCTAATGCGGGTCATGCTCCCCCAAAGGGAGCAGATAACTGGACCTTCTCCAAGTAAAACGCCCAGGGAGCTCCTGCCCCAGCACTAGGCACTGGAGGCCTCAGCCCCTTCTGGCACCGGACTAGCGGAGTCAGCTAGTGTGCGGAAGGCAGCAGCGGCTGGGCCCATCTGGGCTTCACAGCCCCTGCTCAGGGTGAAGTCAGAGCAGGCGGAGGGCAGCGTGGGCTGGCAGTTCCCCAGGGTATCTGCGGAGCCCTCAAGGTTTTGCACAAGCACTCTGAGTTTACCACCGCTCTGGCGCCTCCCTCGATCTGGGCTCCCCACTTCATAAGCCAGCAAAGTCTGCACCCCACCAACAATCCAAATACTGAACGGCAGAAAGCTGGCTTCTCTGTGTGCACAGGTAGGCAGAGGGAGCCCAGAGGCGACAGGAGCCCAGAAAGGGGCATGGCCCCAGTCCATGTCCACTCTACCTTGTGGTTGTAAAAATGGCCATTGATGGAGAAGCGGTGGCGTCGGATTCGCCGCTGGTCACTGGGTGTTCTCACATTGCCACGGCGACGTACCCCAACATCACTGCGTGTGCGCATCAGCTGTGGAGTGTCTTCTTGCACAGGCTTCAGGCCTCTGGAGTCTGACAGGAAGAGGAGAAAGGGGTTCTGTGTGATTGGACTCAGGACTCATAACGTTCCCATGATAGATAATGATGCAGCACCCACTGCCTAACAAAAAATTATGTGTTCTGTTTTGTGACACTGTGGATTAAATCTAGGGCCACACAGTGAGCTGCGCCCCCGGTCCTTCTTATCTTTATCTGGAGACAGAGTCTGGCTACATTGCCCAGGCACCCAGGCTGGCTTCAAACTTCTGATCCTCCTGCCTCGGACTCCTGAATTATGGGTGTAAACTATCATAAACATATTTTATACCTGTTGGAGGAGCAACATGATACACACAACTTAGAAACAGTAAAAGGTGCAGAGCACAGACCTCAGGGCCAGACTCCCAGTTGCTACAGATCTGTGTCTCTAGCCTCTCCATGCCTGCTTCCTCACCTACGAAGTGTGTGGACAACAGCATCCACCCTGTGGAACCACAGTGAGGGGTTGAACGAGTGACCACGCACACAACTGTTAGAGCAGTGCTTGGCACGGAGAGTGCATGAGATGAGGGTTCGTGAGCTCATGAGACAGCTTGCACGAGCCTGTGATGTGACACATGCATCACATCAGCTGGTCACACACTTACAAGCACTGTACGATTCCACTCAGGCCAGAGACACAAAGTAGAGCGGCAACTGATATAGGCTGGAGGTGGACAAGGAGGTGGGGAGTGGGGTTGGGGGGTCGTTAATCTTATTTATTTATTTGTACAGGGTCTTGGTACACAGCTCAGACTCATAGTGATCTTCCTGTCTCAGCCGTCCCAGTGCTGGGATTACAGGCATGTACCACCACGCCCAGTTTGGGTGGCCAGCATGGCATACCTGGGGCTCTAGGGCCAGCACAGTATGAGGTACCAGTTATCAAACCCGGATCCTTGTGCTTGCCAGGCAGGTGCTTAGACTGCCGAGCCATCTCCACAGCCTGCAGAGTGGTTTTTGAATGGGTACGGAGTCTCAGGGATTTTTACTAGTTTTTAAAGTTTTGCAGAGCGAAGGAACTTGCCCAGGCCTCCCACAAGTTAGGCAAACACTGTCCTGCTAAGCTATACCCTCCTGAATCTCCATTTATACCAAAAAAAAGTGGGAGAAGGTTGTGTAGTGGGTATGAGGCCCTGACTTTCACACACACACACACACACACACACACACACACACATATTAAAAATTAAAATTGCATATAAGGTGAATTTTTCTGAGATCCAAAACAGTGACAGTTACACAACATTATGAAAGTATTTTGTACCACTGAACTGAATACTTCAAAATGAACATTATGTATTTACCATAATGAAACATTTGAGAAATGCTTACTAGAGCATGAGTCCTGTGACATTTTTCTATCTATAAATCTAAAACACTGACAATGCAAAAAATAAAAAAATAAAAAATAAAACACTGACATTAAGTGAAGCACAAGTAAGTTGATCAGTGTTTACTGATACCTATCCATGTCTCATAGAGAGATTCGCAAATTGATGGTATCTGTCAAAATTACAAATCAGAGTCTCAGATCCAGAGGTCCCTGTTGAACAAATGTATAAAATCACATGTGTACCCAGCCACTGACTACAACTTGGGTTGTCACAGTAAAGACTGACTGTGACCTAAAAATCTATCAAAGGAGTGGTTGAGGGGACCGGGGAGATAACTCAGTAGAATAAGCACTAGCTTGGCAAGCTCAAGGTCCTGAGTTCAATGCCCGGTACTGCAAAAAAAAAAAAAAAAAAGTGATTGAATAAATGATCAGTTCCCGTATAACGGAACACTGCAGAGCTACACCGCAGGAGGAAGTTTTTTGTATTTGTATGAAATGACTCAAACCTAGATTGAAAGACAGAAGTAAAGCAAGGAACGTGCAAAGTGCGCCCAGATGTATCCATGGGGAGGAGGATGCACTCAGGACACTACTAGGGAGCGAAGCTCCAGAGGTGGGCAAGGCAGGATATTTTTATGTCTTCCCTTTGGATACTTTTTGAGCCTTGAGCCACATGAATCTTAGATTTTTCACAGGTAACCGTGCTGAGCAGCTATTGCAGCAGTGAGGCAAGCTGGCCTCGACTGGAGCCTCCTCCTCCCCGGCACGCATACCAGTGGGGCTGGGCGTCTTGTCGTCCTCTGGAGGGGCGTCCACCTCTGAGATCTGAATGGCAGGCATGGTGAGGGGCTTCAGGATGGTGCTAGGGCAGGAAACAAACAAAAGGGAGACAGCGTTAGCTCTCTGCAGGCAGAGGCCTGCACTCCCAGCCGCCCCACCTTAAGGGGAGCGCCCTGCCTGGGCCAGGCTGGGAACTGCACACATCAGGCCATGCGCTGGCCCTGCTCCCAGCCCAGCACTGGGCAGGGAGGGGGAGTTCAAGAGAAAGAAGATGTTCTTCCCCAGCATCTGCAGCAACACAAGCGCCCGATTCATCCAGCCAGGGAGAAGAGGCCCTGGAACAAAACCCGTGTGTCGCCTACACTGAGCTGCTAAACACCTGTGATTTCTGGGCTCCTTTGGAAAATCCTAACAACACCCTTTTGTTTCTTGGGACAGGATCCCAGCTCAGAGTCATTTCTGCTGGAGGGACAACTCAGAAACTGCTCTGGCATCTGAAAGGGGAGAAAGGAATAGGTTGTCACTACAAGGGTCAAGAAGTTCCGGAAGGTACACCAATGTCAGCTTTCTCCAGGTAGCAAGGAGGGAGTCCCCAGCCACACTGGAGAAAAGGTCACCACAGGCAGCTGTGATAACTGGAAAGTAATCCCTAAAACCCCAGTGAGACAATGGAAGCAGCTTGGGGAAACATGTCAAGTCAACAGAAGCAGTGGTCCTAGCTGAAGACAGAACAGGGTCCTTGCTGACCCCTCACGAACATCCTGTGGTGAAGAAGGCGGGCTCTTTGGGACCCCACAGACAGGTCTCATGTTCCAAGGATGATGGTTTCAAGGGAAGACAAGTGAAACTGAAAATGTCAAAGAGTGCCCAGTGTAGTGGCCCCTGCCTGTAATCACAGCACTCAGGAGGCTGAGGCATGAGGATCTCCACAAGCTCAAGCCCAGTCTGAGCTACATAACACGAACCTGTCTTTAAACAAATCTGAGTTTCTATTATAACTCATAGCCTTCTGAGCCCTTAAATGGATCTAGCCAGAGCCTCCCTAAGACTGAGGATCACTTGAACCCATACCCACCACTCCCCACTTCCTAATCCAAACCTCTTTCTTACTGAAGCAGAACCTGGCCTTGGTATCCTTAATGCAGCCATTGAGGTACTCGCCTTATGTCAGCTGGCATCTACGCCACATTCTTGGAAACTCTCAGTGCATCTGTAGGTTCCAAGGGCCAGCCAAGACCCGCTTGATACCACGGGGCAGAGAAGAGGTACACAGAGTAAAGGACCCTTCAGCAGCCCAGCCCCAGCGTCTCCCGCAGGGAACGGAATGTTACGACCAGGGTTGAGCCCAGGCAGTGGACAGGGTTTGGCCCACTAGAAATCAAATCAGATCCAGCCAAAATGCTGAAAGCAAAGTGGTGTGAAATCAGGAAAGTTAGACGAAACCAAAGAACTTGGATCAGACATCCCAGCGCCCACTGGGTGGGTCACAATGCTCCTGCTTAAATTCTCTTGGAAAGAAACCAGCTCAGCCTCGGGCTTTGGCCACACAGTAGTATCCCTCACACAAAAAGATAGATGTGGCCATGGGGTTTAACAAAACGTTCCATGTGGCCAACAGAGAGAAAGGGCTTGATTCTCATTTTACTAGGAAAAATATCACTGTGGTTTTGGCTGAGCGGCCGGCACCCCACCCGAGCTCTGGCCCGAAGACTGCTGACATCAGCAAGTTTCAGGAGGAACAGGGTCAGTCACGATCCCCAAAGCTGAAGGCCCAGAAAGCTGGTCAGGGTGAGCTGAGAGAGAGGCTTCCTCTACTCTAGCAGCCATCGAGGGTATGGAAAAGCACACATGGACCCAAAGTCTAAGTAATGGAAACAGCAAAGTCAAAGCTAAGTGATAAAGAAACACAGACTTGGTGGAGGAGAAGGATCTGGACATGCCCCCAGGAGGAAAGGTCTGGACAGGCAGGAGGAAGGATCAAGATGCAGTACACATGCATATATGCCAACTCTGCGTGGTGAATATATTTATTATACATCACAAACATACACTAATAAAAATTTTTAAAAGAACAGGCCTGGGGCCAGGGAGATGGCTCAGTGGAATAAGCACTTCCCTGGCAAGCGCAAGGGCCTGAGTTCAATCCCTGGTTCCACCAAAAAAAAAGAAAGAAAAGGCCTTCCCCAAACTAGAAAGGCTTTGGTTAGACAGGTCATACCCTGACTGTCCCAGAACAGGGTCATTCCTTGAGGAGTAGTTCCAGTGAGGAGATGCAGGCGTTGACCCCGCAGAAAGCCACAGGCTCCAGGGAGCCACCTCAACTCCCCAGAAGCCCAGGAATCCTCCACAAGCTTGGGCACTGTTGCACAGGCTTTGAGTCCCCTATGGGTAAGCACCTCTCCCTTCCTCTGCCTGCTTCAGAGACTGAAAAGGCAGCAGAGACCCATCGTGATCACATCAAACCTCAACCCTCCTGAGCGGAAGCAAGGAGCAGCAGAGGTGATGGGACAGGGGCAGGGCTGGCTGCACACTGGCACTTGGGTGCTTAAAGACACAAAGAAGCCCCATCCCCCCAGCCTCCTCCCCTCCATCTTCCTTGGGTGCTTAAAGACACAAAGAAGCCCCATCCCCCCAGCCTCCTCCCCTCCATCTTCCTTGGGTGCTTAAAGACACAAAGAAGCCCCAACCCTCCAGCCTCCTCCCCTCGGTCTTCCCTAACTCACCCCTGCGCCCCCAGGTTGCAGCCCGAGTGCCAGGACGAGGAGGAGGGAGGCGGCCGGATGCGCTCGTTGTGGTCCTGCATCTGCAGGCGGATGGGCCGGCGCAGCCCCCAGGAGATGTTCAGCAGCCCCTCCACGATGAACTCATCTTCTTCCTGCCCACAGAGCAAGGCCTGGTGAGCCAGAAGAGCCCCACAGAGCTGACCCTGTGCTAGGGACGAGGACGGCCTCCCCTGTGTGTTCTGACTATATCCAAAGGATATGAAAGGGACTCACACTCCCTGGTGGCACAACATGCTCTGCTGTGAAGTCCACTGCCCTACAGCTGACCTCATGGGGCAGCACACAGGGCTGGGGATGTGGCCCAGGGGTAGAGCCCTCTCGTGGCATGCAGGCATACACAAGGCCCTGGGTTTGAACCCTGCACCACTCTCCAGAAAACAAAATTGCTGTGAAATTTAAACACACAAGTGCAAAGTAGGAAAGCATTCTGTTGTCTCTACAAGCCAGAATGCATCTTTTCAAATAAGTGAGACATGACTTATTGTTGGAAGCAGAAGTGACTTCTTGAATTAACCACTTTTCCCTCCTCCCCCACTACAGAAAGTGTTGTCTTTAGCTGTAATGCAATTAGCAACCCAAATCCTGGGTGAAGATTTAGAGCTACATTCCCTAGAGAGCACTGGCTCCTCTGGCACACGGACTGTTGCCTTAAAAGGGTGTTGAGTGGTCACAGGCCAGCAGAGGCTGTACTAATCAGATTTCTCAGCATAACCTCCCGGTGCCTATAATAACTTCACGCGCTACATTGTGACTCTCCAAGAGGTGAACAAATCCTGCAGGAATTCCAAATTTATCCTCAAAGCTCCTTGACTAACAAGAAGCCAAATGTACAAAAACTTTCTGAGAGACTGTTACACTCCACCCAAAAGAAGCAGATCCCATGTATAACCTCAAAGTCCTTGAATCATGGGGCACTGTGGGGATTTACTCTGTGAGCTGTTCCCCAGGAAAGCTGTTTAAGACCCCCAACCTTGGCCAGGGCCCATCATTAATTAATAGAAGCCGTGAGAACAGTGTCCAGATAGGTCAGGCTTCTCTTCTCCAGTCTTGCAAAAACCCCTTCCAACTCCTGGGCAGAGCCCGAGGGGTTCAGCCCTAGGTGCAGACCACACTTCACGTCAGGCCCCATGAGTAAAAGTGACACCTGCCCAGGGAGTGAGTCACAAACCCAGGCCAAAGGATAACAGGGAGAGGGTACAGAAGGCAGGAGAGGAATGAACCGACTTCAAGGAGTCCGGGGATTATCGGGAGCAAGGCTTTAGCGAGCACAGGCTGTTTGTGTGTCCTTCCACTGGATGGGCCAGTTTCGTGATGGCATATTGCGGGACTATGGGACAGAATTTAACCCACAGTAGCACTCCGCCTGGGGAAGGGGACTGAGGGACACAGTAAGGCCATTGCCTCCCACATCCCATCCCCCAAGCGCTGGCCTGAGCAGCTGAAATTCCACCGTCTGTTACCTATCTCTATGGATTAAATCGCCATGGCTTGACAGGCTGAAAATGTGTTGGGAAGGGTATTGCCCATGCTTATCAGTCAAGAACACTCAAGTATAAATTACTCGACCAGATATCTTTATAACTGATAACAGGCTCTACAGAAATGGATCCAGGATCAGCAAGCTTAGCTTCGGGATGGGGGCTGGGGGCAGTCAGGGACAGCACCGCGCATTCTCAGAAGGCAGCCATAGTGAGTCACCAGCCAGAGCTTCCGTGACTTGCCTGGTGGCCACAGCAACAGGACTTGAGCCCAGATGTGCAAACTCAGAGGCATGGGGAGATTTCTGGCCCACCCAGCAAGAAGATGCCCCCTTGAGAGCCAGCTGAGGAGGTGGCTTCCTGAAACTCTGCTGGAGACCCCGCACACTGGGCCATGCTGAACCTGGGCCTCCTTGCAAAGACCAGGACACCCTCTGAGTGAGGGGCCACTTGCTGAGGCAGGACAGCCCAGCCCCGGGGACCGCAGGACCCTGCAGACCCGGAACTCCTGGAGGCAAAGCCAGCACCCCACCGCAGGGTACAGCTGCCAGGCTCACTCTGGGACGCCTTACCTCCCGGTGCCGCAGCTGCAGGTTCTGACCCTCGTAGTACAGGTTGTAGGTCTTCAGGTGCAGGAGAAGTTCATTCCTGGGGGCAAATTACAACATTCTCAGCAAAAGCCATCTTTTCTCCCTCTGACCAGGCCCCAGTCACCCCAGTGTACAGCATACATGGGTCACACACACACACACACACACACACACACACACACACACACCAGCTCCCCAGCAGCCAAAGATCAGCTAGAACAGATTGAACAGGAGGCAGTTCCACACCCAAGGTAGCCCCGTCTAATGAGGGCTGAGGCTGGCATCTCTGATAACAACTCCAGCCCCTAGAAAAGGGCAGCAGACAGGCACAGACTTGGAAACAAGAGCCCTCTGAGCCACAGATTGGCTCTCCTGCCATCCACTGCTCCTCCACACATGCTGCGTGAGAGAGGAGAAGACGCACTTGGCATTCCCAAGCTTCCCAGAAGGCCAGGAGGGACAGGTCTAGATCACACCAGGTTAGGCTTCATTGGCACGACCTGGCACTGTGTCCAAACATTACTCCCAAGCCAGGCTAGTGCACACACTGTAATCCCACCACTTGGGAGGCCAAGGCATGAGAACTGCAAGTTCAAGGCCAGCCTGGACAACACAATCAGTTCAAGGATAGCTTGGAGTACATAGTCAGACCCATCTCAAAAAATAAAATCACAACAAAACTGCATAAACTTCTATCAGTTGTACAATGAAGGAATAAAGAAGGTTATAGTCATGTGATGCAGTATTACACAAAAATGAATACACGGAAGGAAAACACACAGCACAGGTGACTCTCAGGTATCCCACATTGATTGATAGAAGCCAGACTCAAGAGAGGGTGTATGGGGGTCAGGGACATAGCTCAGTGGCACAAGCGCCTGCCTGGCAAGCGCAAGGTCCCAAGATTGGTCCCT